TATATATATATATATATATATATATATACACATCCTAGTAAACATCAAGTAATTTTTAGACATGAAAATATTTATATACATATATATATATTTGAGCTGATGCTTTATAATCATACAGACAATTAATTTTGTTTATCTTAAGTGCTCAGACATAACAGTCTGTGAATTACTTTGTGTTTACCATTGTATCATCACTTGTACTGCTGAAAGTAAAAAATATTTAAGAAATAAAAATATAAAACAACATGCAATAATTTCTTGTACAGCAATGAAGTCGTTAATACGCATGAAATCAATAAAATTATACCTAGCATTTTCTTTTGAAGATTGCATAAAACATGTTTCTGCTTTATTTTCCATTGAAGTGTCGATCAAATTGGTCTCGGACTCACTAAAACTGTTTTTGCTGTTAAAAAAAGATATTGTAAATAGAATTTATTGCAATCTTCACATATTATAATAAGAAAATATTTTATATAATACAATAATACACACCTGCTGTTTTCACTAACATTTATTATGTTGTGTTGATTTTGCACTTCCTTTAGCACTTCTTTTTTCTTCAATAGTGGCAAATTTTCTGTTGGAATTGCATGATCATGAAGTCTTCGTAATTTCTTAGGCGAGTAATTTTCGCAGTTTGCTAAATACGCTGGCTTTGGTTTGTAACAGCTTGGTGTAAAGTGGACAGAGCATATGCGAGCTACAAAAAATAATTTCAATAAAGTATTAAAAATATATGCCTCAATTATAATTTATATAGATTCAAAATAGCGTACCGTTTTTTAGGTTAACTTTATTTTTGTTAGCAGCTTGCATCCATTTTAACGCAGTTTCTTCATCCTTTGGATAAGAAAAAAATTGAATATTTTTCTCTTTTGCATTCTCGCTTCTATTTTTGCATCCACTTACACTACACATAGGCATTTTAAAAAAGACAAATTAAGCCGAACACGTTCACTTCTGACGTATGTATATACATAAAGTATATCTATATATATTCAATATGGCGCTCGCTTGGCCGTCGCCATGTCTCCGCAGAACATGCTCAATTTCAACCCCTCTAACGAGCATACCTTGTTTTCTTTCTACCATGGTCGTGAGCATCTTGATCTCGTGCGAGAAGTATGCCGCTTGAGTAGCCTTGATCCAGAATAGTCTGGCCTTCTCCAAAGCAGAGTGCGAGTCCAACGACTTGTCTCGGAATTTTCTCAAGAGAGCGATAAACAGAGAGCTGTTATTTTCAATAATTTATTGAGAGTTAAGTACTTGTATATGAGGTCTCAATGATAGTTCGGCTGAGATGCAGCTGCATATAGAGCAATGCCAGGACAAGCCTCATGACCGCTCAACTTGTCCGGAAGCGCGGGTTGAGATGGCCATGCTTCAGGTGTGAGAATCCACGGTGGTCCCGTCTACCATAATAAGTGGCTTTGAAGTTGAGCAGTAGTTAGACCTCGTGATGCGCAGTCGACTGGGTTGGATGTGCCAGGTACGTATCTCCAGTGAGCGTCTGCAGTGAGATCCTGGATCTGAGCAACTCGGTTTCTTACAAAATCTTTCCAGCGCGATGCATGAGATTTGATCCACGTGAGTATCACAACAGAGTCCGTCCACAGGTGAGTTGCTGTAACGTTCAACTTCAAGGTGGCTTGAACGTATTGCATGAGTCTTGAGAGCAGCAATGCTGCGGTGAGTTCAAGTCTCGGGATGGTGAGCCGTTTGAGCGGTGCTACCTTTGTTTTGGAGCACACCAATGAAATCGTGGCGCCATTAGAGCCGTGGACGGTGATATATACGATTGCAGCCATTGCTAGTTGAGAAGCATCAGAAAAGCCGTGAAATTCCACTGTCGAAGTACTCCATGTGTTGTACCACCGAGGTATTGAGAGCTTGATCAAGCTTGTGAGTTCTTTTCTGATGATGAGCCACCGTGATGAGAGCTGGGATGGCAGTGGTTCATCCCATTGGAGCTTTATGTAGCCAAAACTCCTGCAAGAGCATCTTCGCCTTGATCACCCCTGGTGATGCAAAGCCCAGTGGATCGAATATCTGAGCCACTTCAGACAAAACGAGGCGTTTGGTGAGATGATCGGTGTGCGACGAGATCCTTGTTGAGAATGTGAATGTGTCTTCTTGAGGAAGCCATCTTAATCCGAGTATTTTGTTTGCGCAATCGTCAAATGCAATTTGTGAGCCCTGGTCTTTTGCTGCTTGAACCTCAGTGAGCACATCTTGATTAGTCGCGTGCCACCTTGCTTATGGGAAGCCGCCCGCCATGCACAAGTCCGTTGACAGTATTGAAGTTTCTATTACCTGCTGAACGGTGTCGGCGCCTCCAAAATGTCGTCAACATCTCGACCTTGAATGATTGGCGGCACTGCGAGGGGAAAACTGTGACCTTCATCCTCTACCAGTTACAGCAGTGTTTGTACTGATAAGAACGGGGCAGCGTTGGTCTCATAGGTGACCGTTGTGAGATAATGTGGCACTTCATTGAGCTGGTCGTCTATCCAGAGAATCCGTTGTATGTCCCAGTCATTTTCATGCACGTTGATTTGCCTGTACATTTTGGTGATGTCAGTGGCAACTAAATGCCGAACTTGTCGAATCCAGAGCAAACCATCGGTGATGTCTAAATGCAGCTTGGCTCCTGTGTGCATGAGATCATTAAGTGAGCGGCCGGATGTAGATGCACTCGAGCCATTAAATACCACACGTAATTTAGTGGTTGCACTGTCTGGTTTAAGCACTCCATGATGTGACAAGTAATATTGTGTATGCTGACTGGAAGCGGGTAAAGCCTTCTTCATGTGATTGAGCTCTTGATATTCTGTCATAAACTGATGATACAAACGTCGATAGTTGTCATCTCGGGAGAGTCTTCTTAGTAAACTTTGCAAACATCGATGCGCAGTGAGATACGAATCGCTAAGAGTATTAGGTGATAATTTTAATGGAATTCGGACCGTGTATCGCCCTGTTGATCCCGCAAAACAGTGAACTTAAAGTATTCTTTACACCTTTTTTCGTCAGGAGTGAGATCATGATTGGTACTTGCAGGCACTTCTTCTTGTGTCCAAAATTTCGACAATAACTCGTCGAGAGCATCTTCTCTCTCCTGAATTGATGCATGATGCACTGCAGCAGATGCCGGTGATGATATGTCGACAGGTCCGAGAACGAGCCATCCGAAAATTGAGAGCTGCGCGATTGGCATCAATGTATCTCGTTTGATGATGTTGGGCTTGATGATCTGCCCATATGAGACAGCTCCAATGATGATGTCCACTGGCCGTGGTGTGAGAAAATCTGGATCAGCCAAGGTTAACTTGGTGAGATGCGGCCATTTCAGGGGTGCAACGTTGAATGATGGCAGGATGTTCGCTAACACCTGCAGAACGTGAGCTTGAATAATGACGTCTGATCTTGAGTGAAGTGAGCGGAGCTTAAACAATGCAACTCCTCGAGTTTGCGTCGCCTTTCCGCCACCAATTCCAGTGATGAGAATGACGGAACGATGACGAGTAATGTTAAGCTGGCGAACGAGAGATTCTGAAACAAAGGTAAGTTCTGAACCTGAATCAATGAGAAGCCATACGCGTTGAGTATGAACAGATGAGCTGATCTGAGCCAGGGCCGTAGCTAGTAATGTCGAGTGTAATGAGCGGGCCAAAGATGAGTGAGCGACGATTGCACCATCTTTCTATTGAGCTGACGCAGCTGAGCTGGTGATCGGCTTCGCTGAGCTAATGAGTTCGACTGATGAGCCTCATGCAGCATCGTGTTATGTCGGTTGGTGCACTTCTTGCACCCCCGTGAGCCTTTACATGAGCGGACGTTGTGGCGGCCGAGGCAGTTGAAACAGAGCCTCCGTGGTATGACTAATTTTTGTCGATCGCCCGTTGAAAGATCCCTAAACTTCGTGCACATCACAATGAAGTGAGTGCCGTTGCAACAATTGCACGGGTAAACTGTGGAGCTGTCAAATGCTGCCGTGCGAGCCGGTTGAGCTGCCGCATGCTGAGCTGTCAACGTGCGCTTTGCTGTTGAATGAGCGCCGACGGCTATGAGGCTTCAAGATATGCATGCTCCTTGAGAAACGCCTTGTGCGTCTCTTCGAGATGCATTGAGATTTGGATGACCTCCTCTAACGGCATGTCCTCTGCACAAGCTGGCAGCGTGTCGTTATTATTCCGCACCGTCGCCAGGCGGATCATTTAAGTTTGAACCTTGAGGATGAGCTCCGTGGACAAGCGCACGGGTGAGGCTTGGCGTTCCGATGTGCGAGCCGGTGGTACCTCGAGCAGCGGCGTCGTGGTCTCCGTACTGCCCGTACCCGCCTTTGCGGGTTCCGTCATGTTGAGCCGTCCCTGAGCTGCGCATAATGAAACACCTGAGAAACGTCGAGACACGTATAAGAACTACTGCACGAGATGGGAACGTTCGAGAAACGCGTGAGAAAAACACTACGCGAAGCGAGAGTCGTTGAAGTCATGTATTGAGCACGTGAAAATGTCTATTTACACTCGCGGGAGCGCGTGAACATGTTTGTGTAACACTTGAGAGCGCGCATGAGAATGTCTGTACTTCACTCGCGAAGGCGCGCGATAATATCCACGTGGCATGTCGTGAAGGGCATGCCCTGTCCACATGATCTGTGTCTGAGATACACTTTAAGTTCCACGCATCCGGCTCGAAGGACCAAATGTTCGCGAAATCGCTGATTTTTCCCGGCGATGGAAGCGGGATGAGAAGAACGCGCGTGGAAGGTGTTAACGAATTATTCACTTTATTTATGTGTAACTCAGACCACAGTCTGAGCCGTCTTTAATGCGTCGAAAAATATACAATCTGACTTGAGAAACGATGAGCGGTGTATAAATGAGAAGTTTTTAGATTGTCCGTGAATGCGCGGGACAATTATATTAATTGCCCTCCTCGTGATGATTAGCCCGTGAGCCGGTGAGACACGTGGCGGTCGGCACTCGCGCACGTGTGAGCCTGAGTCGTCGTGTTGATGTACCAGAGCTGACTGAGCGGTCTCTTTCACACGTTAGCTTAGTCCCTCAGCAGCTTCAATTACTGCGATGGGCACTTCAATTCGAGTATTCCTCGAGAAAAGCACAGAGCACACATCGTACGTCTGATCACAGCGCGGCCATTTTTACGACTCCGTGTGTCGCGAGGAAGAAGGTGGCGATGAGCGCGCCCGTGCTTGCGCAAGTTGCCGCGTCGATCCGGCCCGTCGATATCCAATCGATGCTGCCATCTGATCGGACGGCGCAACGTGAACGGAATCTCGAACACAAATTTATGTAGATTTTCATGAATTCACGAGTTGTAAAAGGCTTAAGAATTGTTTCGTTTTCTGTAGAACCTTGTAGTATTGTATGCAAAATTACAATCATTTACCAATCAGAAATTTATATAGGTAAAAAATTGTACATTTATGTATTTTTCTATTGGTCGTTACAACGGACTATACGAAAATAAAACATAAGTATTTTGACTTCTGCGAATTAAGAAGTTATTAATAATAGATGAATTTTGGAAGATTTGTGTAAAAACTTGTAACATTTAACTAAAAATGACAAATTTTAATTAGCCATATAATTGTAATAAATTTTTTAGCTGTACAAACAAATCGGTATTTGTTAGTATTTGTACGCAGTTGTAGTATTTTATGAGAAACTAAAAACTGAATTAGATTCTAAGTTGCATAGTTTTACGATACGTAAATTGTGGTAGATTTCTATAGTTATTTATAAATAATTGTAGTTTTCTACAAGTAAGCAGATGTTTTAATTTTTTAAGATTTTGTTTGTTCTTAAAATTTTAAAATTTGTAGATCTTTGTACTATTTTTATAAAATTGTAGTTTTTCATAAAATACTACTTGCAATAATTTCTTGATTTGAGAACATTGTAATTTGTGGTACTATTTCGTAGATATTTCTACAAAAAAAATAACTATTTCTACAAAACATTAAATATTTCAACAAAAATGTACATATTTCTAGTTAAATTTTGTAGTTATTCATAGAAATTTTTTCCGCCAAAGAAGAGTAAAGTATAGGTACTAATGAAGAGTGGGAATGTAAAATAATTAGTAATAATTGAAAAAAATGTAAAAATGCATAACCTTATTTTCTAATATAAACAGTTGTATAAGTAATATGTACGAATAAAAATGTTCCCATTCTTCAGAAGACATGCACAAACAATAACGTACCTTTGAAATTGAGATTGAAAGCCTGGAATAAAAATGAATGCTTCGAAGAAATTATAACCTATAACCATGTCTATCCTTGTCTATCATCATTGTCTATACAAGGACAAATATAGAATTTGGTCGGTAATAAAGACGGCTCTAGGATCCCCTTAAGGCTAAATTGCACATCTCAACACCCCCCTCTCAATTTAGAGTCTATATAAATCAAAATGAATTTACAACTAATATTGTACACAGCAATAACTAGAGTGAAAGATGTTGAATAGCTAAACAAAAAAAAAGAGAATAGAATTAGATATTGAACTTTAACTCCATTTAACAATGTTCAACTCCAATTTGAGGTCTGAATTTTTCAAACAAGTTTTTACTCAGATTTTTTGTTAGAATGTCCGCCTTTTGGCTTGCGGATGGCACGTATTTTACTTCGATGATCTTTTACAGCACCAGGTCTCTTACAAAGTGGTATTTGACGTCTAAGTGTTTCAGTCATCGGTGTTCCCATTTATTCAGTAGGTGAATACTTGACTGGTTATCTTCATAGAGTGTTACCGGAGTTTCACAGGTGATAAGTAGGTCATTGCGTAGGTTTTTGAGGCAGATCAATTCCGCTGCTGCACTGGCAAGTGCAACATACTCAGCTTCCGTAGAAGAGAGTGCTACTGTCGTCTGTTTCCTTGTCGTCCACGACACGTTGTTTCCAAAAACTTCCAGTAGGAAACCGGTGGTGGACTTTCTGTTCTTGGATCCAGCCCAGTCGGAATCAGCGTATGTGGCGAGTGCAGCGGACTGTTGTTTGCGATATATGAGATCGTAATGCATCGTTTCCTTTAAATATCGAACTCTTCAGTCCTTTCTAGTGTTGTTGTGTTGCAATGCTCTGAAAGCTGCTATAGTAGTTTACCGCTGCGCTCAGATCGGGCCTAGTATTCAGCATAATATATATGAGGCAGATCACGAGTTCCTTGTATGGCTTCTGCTCAATGATAATTTCCGTTGTTTCGTCAGTATTAAAATCGGGTTTTGCGTCCATAGGAGTGCTCGAGCCCTTGCAATCCTCCATGTGAAAGCGCGTAAATAGTTTTTTGATGTATGTGGCTTGTGTGAGGTGCATCTCGTTGTTTCTTCAAGTAATTTTGATGCCGAGGAAACTGTGCAGGTTTTCCGAGATCCGTCATCTTGAATTTTTCTTTGAGCGAATCTTTGACCCTTTTGAGCTCTTTTAAGTCACTGCTGGCCAGGATGATGTCATCTACATACAACAAGAAATAGATTTTGAATTATTTACAGAATTTTACATACAAACATCTGTCATGAGGAGATTGTTTGAAGCCAATTCCTTTTGCAAACTCACCGAATCTCTCGTTCCAAACCCTTGGAGCTTGTTTGAGTCCATAAATTGATTTGTTTAGTTTTAGTACGTGATTGGGTTTGCTTTTGATTCCATCTGGTATTTTTACATATATCTTCTCCTGTAGATTTCCCTGAAGAAATGCATTCTTCATATTTATTTAAATTGCATGTAAGTCTTCCTGGTTTACGACGGAGAGTAGTGTCCTAACGGTGATAAGCCTGGCTACCGGGGCGTATACTTCATCATAATCCAGTCCCTTTTTCTGCGAGCATCCTTTAACGACTAGTTTCGCTTTATATCTGGATTCTCATCTTCGTCCCGTTTCAGACTAAAAATCCAACGACTAGATATGGTACGCCGTCCCGGAGGTAGCTTTGTCATTGTCCATGTATTGTTTTGTTTGAGTGTCTGTAACTCCTCTGGTACCGCTTGGTACCAGTTTTGATTATCGTCTCTCTCTTTGATGTCTTGGAAATCATTTGGCACATCATCGACGTAAGCTTCGGCATTCAGAGCCAGTACCGTGTAGTCTTGTAAGTATGCAGGTGGCCTTTTTTCTCGATTGCTTCGTCTCGGTAGCAGAGATACCAATTTCAAGCCGCTTACAGCAAGCAGTAGCACAGGGCACATAAGCGAGCAGCCGTGTACGTGTGCGGCAGCTGTGCGTTCGGCGTTCGGCCAGCTTCGAGCGGTCGAAGAGCGCAGCCATACATCTGCGTCTCTTTCTTGCTCGAGCTAGCGTCGCCAGCGAGAATCGTAAAATCCTATTTACTCGGCTCGTGTGTCTTAAGGTGCGATTTCATTGACGCTAGAAACCAGCGGCAGCGTCAAGAAAATGTAGTGGGGGAAGAAGTTCAGACCGTCTCAACTTTTTAGCGTACCGCAAAATTCAACGGAACTTCTTCACCCACTATATTTTCTTGACGCTGCCGCTGGTTTCTAGCGTCAATAAAATCGCACCTTTACTCGCGTTTTCGCATGTCCCTTTCCGCACTAGGCGCGAGACATTATCGTGTCTCTTGATTATGTCACAATTAAAACGTAAAAATTATTAATTAAATAAATCTTTTAATTATATTAAAATTTATCCTGTACATAAAAGATATATAATACATTTATTTAAATACATTTGAACAAATAATTTTCTTCAAATATAATATATAAGAGCCAGTAAATTTTATTGCAATTTCTGCTGTAATAAACTATTTTAACATATTCATTAAAGACTTATTGTTAGGGTAAACCTTTACACAGCCCTCACCAATGACCTTGACATATGTTGTCAAGGTCACCCTCCTGAGTAACTTTCAGAAGGTTTTAGCCGTCGCTCGTTTTTTATTAAAAAGTTATTCACAAAAAAAGTTTGGAAAATATAGCAGTTATTTTAACGGGATAGAAGTACACATGTAAACGGGAGAGAGCAAAATATCCATTTGCATATCACTTAGCTTTTAATGATGAATACATCCTATATAATATATCAAAGTACATGGAAAGTGCAGGGGGGCAATTTCCCTTACAAAAAAGTATTACTAACTGGTTAGTAATAAATACTTATTTTGTGTATTAATAATACTAATTTTAAGTATTTATTAGTACTTGAATCACTGTGATTCAAGTATTGCACAGTATTTTATTACTGGTCAGTAATTTATGAAAGTAGTATTTAATACAGGACGAGTATTGAATACTTAGTATTAAATTTCTGATGAGAAAGCATTTAATACTAGGTGATAAATACTTATGTAATAAATACTTGTGTTGAATTACTGATGA